GCGATTTTTAAATGGTGCTTCCCAAATCCCACCAGCCCCCCCTCCCTCATAAAAAATGAATGGTCCCTAAAGCAAGCACAACATTATCGCCACAGTGCTAACGGCCTACTATTACTGGGCTAAATGACGTCCTGCTTTAGTACATCTCAGGGCCCTTTCATGTACGATAATGGATGATGCTAGCAAATCGTTAGACTTGCACCTTCATTGACTTGATGATGTCCTCGGGCAGACTTTCTTTAGACAGCAGTTATAGAATGCTGATCGGTTGGCTCCTTCTCAGAGACACTGCGCGAACTGTAATTCAGACGAGTGTAGCCTGGGCTAAACTTAACACCGATTGAAAAGGGGAGGGGGTTGTAGCGATGAATAATGAAAAAATAGATAAATAAATGAAAAATGCAACAAAAAGTCCTCTACATTTTATGCTAGGTAAACTTTACAAGCTGCTGCCATAAGGAAAGCAAAAAAAAAAATTAAGTAATGAAAAAAATAAAAAAATAAAAAATAAATAAATAAATAAATAAATAAATAAGAACCGCTTGATTTCATTAACACTGTTTTCATAAATCCAGACATATATATGGCTTAACAAATTGAAATAAGACAAATCCATTACATCACATTAATGTATGGTCAACAATGTTAATTAAAAAAAAATAGCAAAGAAATCATTGTCTAAATCTCCAGATATAATAAGCTTACTTTTCAAACAATGTGATTATGATTTCTAAGTACAGTAAACAAATGCAAATCAACTCTAATATGGTAAATTATTTCACTTTTGAATATCTAATTTGGACAAAGAGAAAAGGTCACAGTTCATATTCAAACTGAGGCAAAAAAGCATACTTACTCAAAAGGGTAAAAATATATTCTGCAAATCAATGGCTTTACAGTCAATAAATTGATCGTTGAATGACCTCTTCCATGACTTACATTGTACATTTGTAAACAAGTAATTCCACTTATTCCATCCAAATGTAACGCAATGAAATATATTACCCTCTTGTTTTCGAAAGTCGTTAGAAGGCGTCCGTGATTTATATTGTTTTCAAATTCAAGCGGTACTGCCTTTGAATTTGTGGTCACCGATGGAGACATTTTAAACTTCTGATGGTTCAAAACAATGAATATTGGCTTTTAAAAGTACAATGGCTCCTGTAGAACCTGCACTGGCCAGATGCCAAGTCTGTCCTAGCTTTCGCGAGGAAGTTTACCCTCGTTGTGTCAATTTGTCGACTTGCATGAACACCTGAAACTGAAACATAAATTGCAAATGGGTTTCATTATTTGTACTTAATTATGAAGCTACATTTTCGACACATAAAAGAAATGATAAGATGCAGAACTCAAGACCAAACTCAAAATGAATCAAAGGCTCTGTGAGCCAACTCGTGAATTTG